GCAACAGTACCTAAGACAGAAATTTGGCGAGAACTAGACAAAATGTACAAGACCACACCAGATGTCATCTTTGTATTTGGATTTAGAACCCATTTTGGTGGTGGCATGACAGTGGGCTTTGGCAGTATTTATGATTCCTTGGATTATGCAAAAAAAAAAAAAATGAACCCAAACATAGACTTGCAAGACATGGCCTATATGAGAAGAAAAAGGCATAAAGAAAATAGAAAAGGAACACAACAGAATGAAGAAAGTTAAGGACTGCAAAAACCAGTGTTGGTACTGGCAAAAAAGAAGTGAGCTGAAGATTGGGCAACACTTAGTAGTAAGAATTCTGCAGGGATTTTATTTGTGGTGATAGTGCATATTTTTCACGAGAAGATTAATAAACTTTTATGTGTTTGGATGTTTGAATATATATATATTATATATATATATATATATAATATATATATATATATATAGATTTCTAAATAGGGAATACGTTCATGTAGTTCAAAACTCAGAAAATAGGAGGAGGTACGCAATTAGTAGTTTCCCTCCCATCTTTTCATTTGCCTAGCTATCACTTCTTTCCCTTTGACTTCAGTCTTACAACTTTTAGTTTCATTTCTATCAAGAGTTTCTTGGCATATAGGAGCAATTTAAAAGTATTTTCTCCCCTTCTGAAAACATAAAAGATAGCATATTTATACACTACATCTTGATTATTTTCACTTAATGCATCATAAGATCCTTCCATATTAGCTTAGAGGATGTCCTTATTCTTGATTACCATTGTACCGCATTCCGCTACGTGGAAACTAACCAGCCAGTCCCATATTGATAGACCTTGGAATTATTTCCAGAGTTTTGCTATTATAAACATTGCTATCATGAATAATCTCTAATATATGTCACTTTGCATGGGTGCAAATATATTAGTAGAATAAACTACCTAAAGTGGAATTGGTGGAATAAAAAGTGTGTGCATTTGTAATTGTGGTAGATCTTGCCAAACAGCTTTCTATAAGGGCTGTACTAATTTCCACTCTCAGCAGCAATGAATAAGAGTGCCTCCTCTTTACCTACGTGTTAGAATGTTAGCACATTCTTAGCTTTTTTTCTTATTGACTGAGGCTGAATAATACTTCATACACTCAAGAACCATTTCTATTTTCTGTTAACTACCTTTTCCTAGCTCTTGTCCATTCTTTATTGCATTGTGATAGTGGTCTGCTGGGGCTGTCTTGAACTATTTCATGACAGCCAGTTGTTAGATTTTCAGACTTTATGTAATCTAATTGATTTCATGTCAGTAGCCTGAAATTGGCCATGGTGCGAATATTTACACCAGGGAAATTAGAAAACACAAATCTGCAGGAACCCTTCCCCACTGCCCATTTTTAAACATTTACCAGCACACTACTGTTTGGTGGACTTACTGATTCCTAGAAACCTTTTATGTGGAAATTAGCCCTTTGTGATATGAATTGCAAATAATTTTTCCCAATTTGTCATTTTCATTAACTTGCTCATAGTTTTCTTCTTGTCATGCTGAGATTTTATTTAAAAAAATTAAGTAATCAGATTTATCAGTCTTCTAATGGCTTTTAATCACAACCAGAATGGACTTTCCCACTACAAGTTACAAGGGATTTCTCCTGTGTTTTATCTTAAAACTTGTATGATTTCATGTTTTACTTTTTAATCTTAGGTTCATTTGCTGTTTTTCTTGGTATAAAGTGTGAAGTACAGATCCAAATTATTTTCCCAAAGCAAAACATTAACAAATAAAATCTAGTAATGTATTTTTTTAAAGCAACACTTTATGTTGAGCTACATATCAATCCTTATGGAATGAAGCAAAAACAGTGCTTAGAGGAAAATTCATAGCCTTAAGTTCGTATTAGAAGAGAAGCATTTAGGAGGTTGTTTCCAAATGTTAGAGAAAGAACAGAATAAACCCTAAGGAGAGTTGGAAGGAAATAATAAAGATAAGAGTACAAGTTAATGAAGTAGGCATTAAACATTAAAAAGACAGGATTAAGAAATAGAAATTGTATGAGGCATTGGATAATCCCAGTCTTATAAAATAAACTCCAAGAAGGTGAGAATACTTCCCACATTAATGCAGCTGATGTAGCCTTAGCACTAAATGAGAGAAGGGTACAGTCAAGACATATTGTGTATGTGAGTATGTACATTGTGAGAGTTTATCTTGGGTCTAATAGCTTAGAAACTTCCTGATGGATCAGCACGTTTAAGAGAAGAATCCTCTTACCTAAGAAGATGTAGAGAAAGCATCAAAAAATTCAATTATTTTGGCAAATCCTTGGCAATTAGGAATACAAAGGGGTTTTCATAGCCTATTGAAATATCATACTTTGTGAAATTCCCTGATTAAAAAATATATATGGCTCAAAGCAACAAAGCCTACCCATGTAAGTGTGGACTACATGTCTAAGACAGTGGGATAAAGCAGAGAAATGAAAGAGTAGAGTTTGAAGGGAAAAAACTGGTCTTTTTGTAGATAGTATATTTAGATGACCCCAGATAATCTACATACAAGTTAGTAAAATTAACAAAAGTTTAGCAAGATTCCCAGAATTAAGATCAAAATATAAAGATTACATTCACATTTGTCTAGAAATTAGAAAATACAATTTAATGTATTTTGTGTCATAAAGAAAAGGCACCTTTGAATAAATCTGTAAAATTTAAGACTTTAAGACTTTTAAACAAAATTATAAAGCTTTATTATAAGACATTGAAGAAAATGAAAGATCAAGATCATAAATCTGTCTTACCCCCCCCCCTCGAAATTAACCCTGCATTCCACATAATGCAGTTAAGATTTCAGCAGGTTGTTTTAAAATTGTATCTTTGGATGGATATTGAAGAGAACAAAGGCCTTGGGGGAAAACCAGGTTGGTTACTCTACCAATTAGCAAAAACGTTTTTGTAAGCTATTCACAACATTGTGATGTTACACTGGTGTGGACACGTGGACCACTGAATGAGACAGACCAGACAGTTGAGAAACAAGCCCACACATGTATTTAAGTACTTGGTAAATGACAAAAGGTGACTTTTAGATCAGTAAGGGGTTAAGAAAATGTACTTGGATGCTGATTAGTCATATGGAAAAAAATAAAGTGGGTCTCTAAAAATCAATTCCATAAGTGACCTCACAAATAAAATGTTGAGCAAAACAGTAAGTTTTGGAAAAATATATATCCTTTAATACAATTAAAAGCATTTAAAATATCTAAAACCATGCCATCTGTTTCTTGGTTATACACCTAGCTATATTAAAAGTTTCAAGAAATGCAAAAGGGGATGATGAATGCCGGGTTTAGGACCAGGTTACCAAATGTTGGGAGAAAGTAGGGGATACAGGGACATTTAAAGTATCCTTTTGTGTCCTACATACAGTGAATTTAAAATAGGAAGTGAGATTCAGTTGGTTTTTCATGTTCACTGACTCAGTGACTGCCTTGATTTAACTTCCTTAGGAAAGTAAAATGTCCTTATTCATATGTCAGCCAGCTAGCCAGACAAGCACAGGTAGCTAAACCAGTGGTGTGACCTTGGACAAATTAATTAATCCCCGTTTCCTTGTTTCCTCATCTGTAAAATGGAAATAAAATGTTCTTATGAGAATTACAAATTCACACATGTTCAGCTCCTAGTATGATACCATATAGCTTTAGTACAGATTCTAGAATTTGTGGGTCTTTGCTTAAACTGCTATTAAAGGTCATTGATTCTAATTTTAATTTTTTTCTTACTGCAGTGCTTTTATTGCTCCTTACCTCTTTTTCTTGAGCCTTTTTCAAGTCTTAGGATTTTTCTGTATTACTTTTCTGTAAGCTTTCTTAAATGATGACATAGAAGTGGTTTTGAGCAATGTAAGATGCCAATGCAAGTTCCATTGGTTTGTGTTTTCCTTATCAAGTTGCTGTTCTGATTGACTTATGACAGGAGAGGCATTTTGTGCCCCTACTGAAACCAAAGAAGTCCTGAATTTTAAAAAGTTTTAATCTCCAATCATCACTGATTTTGCATTTCTGAGTTCACTTTTGTTTTTAAGGTTTCATGATTTAGTAACAGGAGTTGAACAGGATTGCTTTACTTAGAATGGCAAATGGCAAATTCTTCTCATAAATGCCTGTGATAATTGCTTTTTTTTTTTTTTGTCATTGCTTCTCTAGCTACTCTGTAATATAGATTCTGTCTTCATCTTTTGCAGTCTAGAAACTTGTTGTCACACATCCTTTAAACTAGAAGTTTAGGGGTGCCTTGGTAGCTCATTTGGTTAAGGTCGGCTTTCAGCTCAGGTCATGATCCCAGGGTCCTAGGATTGAGCCCTGCATCGGCCTGCCTCCACAGCAGAGTCCGCTTCTTTCAGTCTCTCTGCCCCTCCCCCTGCGTGTGCACTCACTCTCTCTCTCAAATAAATAAACAATCTTAAAATGTTTTAAAATAGAGGTTTAATGCTATATATCAAAACATTCTCCAGGGTGCTATAGCTTTTGATTGCTGAGTTATGGTTTTTTGGTGGTTTTGTTTTGTTTTGTTTGCATTTACTCTTATTTCTGTAGTATTTTTCTTAAGATGACCGCTAATATTTTTCTGCTTTTGGAAATTTGACAGATTTGTAGGTAGTAAAAAAGAATTTAATGTGAAAAACATTAAATTGTGGGAAAAAAAATCTTCAAATGGATATCACCTCCTTATCTGCAAATATGATATGCTATAATACTTGTAACAGAAGCACCTTGTAGGTTCATGACTCATTCTCAGGAGTTGCTACATATCTGTAGAACTTGTGTGTGCAGATAGAATGCGCATGTGTGTTGTACACAGGGAAATGGGTCAAGACCGCACGTGAGGAAGACCCGTGCCCCTGCAGGTGGCCCAGTCAGTGCCACTTGGGCGTGATCTGGGTTGTTTTCTTGAGTAGGTCTCACTGACTGAAAACGTGATGGAAACACCATTTTTGCTGCATCTTCCAGGTCGGATCCGCACAAGACGTCAGAGTTCCGGGAGTGCCACCAACGTCGCTACCACCCCGGACAATCGAGGCCGCAGTCGCGCCAAAGTGGTTTCACAGTCCCAGCGTAAGGAGTATATTTTTTACTCTTTGTTATCTCAGTTTTGTTCAACAGCCCATTCTACAGTTGAAAAATTTATAGTTATTTTCATTACTTCAGGGGAAAACCACATTTGTGTGGCTCCAAGCTGCCGTCAGTAGTCTTGATGTTTGTTGGGTAAGCTTACAAAATGGATACTTTGGTCTCCCTTCCAGGTGATTTAAATTTTGTATTATTACACATTAAACTTTAAGATGTGGTTTCTCTCCCTTTCCTCAAGCATCTCAAATTGAGATATACCTGGGCTGTGACCCATTTTACTGTTGATAAGGAGTCCCTCTGATGTAATTTAAGAGCAGTACCTGGGGATTATTTTAATGTGGAGTTCTCGTTCAGTGGTAATGAGCAAATCCATTAAAAGCTCTCCCCATTAACCCTGTGTTCTAACATCTGCAGCCTGCTCTTCTCCACCTGCCAGTGTGGGCTTCTGCTTTGCCCAGCTGCTCTCGCTTCCATTACTGCTTGTCTGTACATGTTGAGTCACTTGGCTTGTTTAGCATCAGCCATGAAAGCAGCCATAGATGGAAGGAATGTATTCAGATCACTCTTAGGAACCACCCCAGTGTCTCACTTCCCAGCCACACTTGACTTTGAGTCTCCTGCTCCTTCTGTATGCATGTAGAGTGGAGCTGGGTGTCCCAGTTCTCCCGGGCAAGGTGAGCGTGGGGGAGGAAGGCTCTCCTTCCCTGGGAGTTCCACTCGTCCCAGCACAGCACTCCCCAGCCCATCGGTGTCCACATCCTCTGTGGTTCCCAGGAGCTATCTGGCGTGTGTAGAGAGCACTCAGTCTGTGGCCAGACCTTAGGTTCTGGTTAGTATTTAGAATGCCTTTCTCAGCTCCTTGTGAATTCAGATACTCTCCTATGTCCCTCTGGTAACTCTAGGCCTCATGTTAAACAAATGTAATATCCTTTCTGAAAAGAAAGTATAACATCGGTCATACATTGCTAACAGGCTTGTCTGATGCAGAAGCACATGCTTCTGGTGTATCACCCAGGTGTACACAACATAACATGCGTTGTGCACCTTTAGACCTTGAGAACAGTATCCTAGCACTGGTTATTCTGTTGAACCCTAGTGATGCCTGGAGTCACAGATGGATAAAATACTCTGGTCATGACCTCCTAAATATAAATCAGGTCTTCTCGCAGAGAAATTTTTCTTGACAAATGCTGTTCAAGATTCAAAATATAGGTTTGTATGTTAAAATTGAGTTTAATAAAAAAATGTCTAGTTCTTTAGCCATGCAGTGTTCCTTTCTTGGAGAGTAAGGGTTAAACAGTACTTTAAATTACTTTATGTCTGTTTATTGGCATTGGCCTCTGCAGGGGTTCCTGCCTGTGGCCTGGCTCCTCTGCTTAGGAGGTAGTGAAGACTACATTGCTTCTGTAGTGGGGGTGAGGGCAAGGATAGAGCTGTAATTTTTAGTCTTGTAGAAATACTCTACCCTATCTTAGCGCTCCACTTTAAAAGTCTTCAGCTTTACCTTACTGACCAAATTCCACTCACAGGAAGGGACAACCCAGCAAATAATCAAGACTAGACCTCAAACTTATGCATATAAATTTAGTATTTAAAAAAATTGCTATAGGAGGTAAACATGAGCATCATTATATGTTTTACAAATGTAGATACAGTAGCATTCAAAGTCCTGGTATAATAGTGAATAGATTTCATTAACATTAGATTTAGGGCCCTAAATCTATTGTTAGGCATATTTTAAAAATGCATATTTTAAATATTTGAGGATTTAAATATGTGAAGATTAGCATTTAAATATTTGAGGATTTGGGGATCCCTGGGTGGCGCAGCAGTTTAGCACCTGTCTTTGGCCCAGGGCGCGATCCTGGAGACCCGGGATCGAATCCCACGTCAGGCTCCCGGTGCATGGAGCCTGCTTCTCCCTCTGCCTGTGTCTCTGCCTCTCTCTCTCTCTCACTGTGTGCCTATCATAAATAAATAAAAATTTAAATAAATAAATAAATATTTGAGGATTTGGCATAGGATATTCAGATGAAACTAGTTAGTAGCAGTTTCTTTGGATGCGTGATGTTTATTGAGCATTTCCTATGTGTTAAGTACCAGTCACAGTGGTAGGAATCCATAAACGAATAGGATCTAGTCACTTCTCTAAGCTTGCTCAGCACTGAAGAGTAGACGTGCTCCTGGAGGCTAACATACTGGTCTTCTCTGCATCTCCTCTGCCTGGCACTGTGCTGGCACATAGGTTTCTGAGTGTTCCATGAACAGACCTAAAATAAATGCTGATAGAGTATGATATGACTACAGTAAACATAGGTACAAAAGTAAACTAAGAGGAAAAAGACCCAGAAGAAAAAGCTATTTTGCTAATGTGTTTGTGAACAAAGACATTTGTGTTGTGTTGCATGCTGACCTTCTGTATTGTGCTATTGTCTTTTAATCCACTTTTTGCCTGTCCTTTGGTCTGCTCTCATAATCAAGGATCCAGATCTGCTAATCCTGCTGGTGGTAAGCCATTTCTCTTCTTGCCTTTTTTTTTTTTTTTTTTTTTTTTTTTTTTGCGTTCTCCTTCACTCCCTGTCCCATGTTCCTTGCACAATATTAATTTCTATGTTTATTATGAGCTTAGTTAATCTTTCTGCATTTTCAAATTCTAGAGTTTAGAATGAATTTCTTTTCTCCTTTTACATAGCTAAATAGTCCGTTTTGGGTGCTCAAAGTTAATGGGCAAGATTAATAAATCCTGAGACAGGTTCTTCATGGTGATGTGTACCAGTGATTTTGATAATGAATTTCACTTTAAATTGTAGCTGTCATTATCAAGTTCTAATTTTTGTGAGTAGTTACCTTAGTGATTCATTTGAATGATGGAGGGGTGTGTGTGGGGGTGTGTTTCAAGGTTACATGTTATTTAAAAGGCTTTTTATCTCTGGGTCATGCTATTCTGGTACACAATAACATGCATTTTATGTTTGAGAATTTTATTGCCTTCTCTACTTAAGGGGAGTGTACTAAGTAAATAAATGCCATTTTAGTGTGTTGATGCAATCTTTAAAATTTTGCTGTTTTAAGAAAGAATGCTGTCTCATGAGAAATGGTTATATAGCTATCCAACCACTTACTCATTTATAAAAATCACTAACTCTTACTTATTTTAAATTTCTGATTCTCTTGTGTACATCTCAGGGCTATTCTCTTGTGTACATCTCAGTGGTCTTACGTAATTTCTACTTTTGTAGATTTCTGAGATTTCCTTTGAAACTTAGTACACAGTTTTTGTAGTATGTGTAGAAAGGTGAAAAGAATATCTTCTCTTTGTTGTACGCGTGTGTGTATGTGGGACATGTGTTTATACATATCTGTATAATTTTGACCACTCTGTCCATTTCAGAGAGGTGTATTACTTATTAGTTTCATTAGTTATTTTCCTTAGAGATACACTAATAAATATGGCCTTCTCAGTTTATCCCTGTATCTTTATCAATTTTATGTTTTATATTTCAAAGCTGTGTTACTTGGAGCATAAAGGTTCATGATTATTATGCCTTAATAGACAGTTATTTTTTTATCAATATGAAATATCCCTTGTCCTTTTTTAACATTTCGTTCTGTTTTGTTGTTTTGTGTTAGGTGTGTTGTTTGTTTCTTAATGAACAACAGCAGTTAAATATCATTTTCTATTTTTAAATCAATCCAAGAATTTCTGTCTTTTAATAGATTAATCTGGCCACACTTAGTACGAATAGTGATATGTTTGAGTTTATTTCTACCATTTTTTTTGTGTGATTTTTTTTATTTACCATGTTTCTAGTTATCTTCTTGCCTCCTTTTCTTCCATTTGTGTTCTTGGATCTGTTTTCTTCCACTATTGTTTAAGAAACTTCTATTATAATTCTTTTCTTCCAATAGTTATACTTAAAATTTTTCACATATCAACTCTTATAGAACAAACAAATAAAACAGTAAACAAGCACCTTTGTGATTATTTGTAGAAATTTGCTGCAGAATAGGGAGCTGTTTATACTCAGCTCACTCTTTTGAATCAGAAATTTTACTGTTTTGTAGAACTCCTCCTGTAATTCTTCTTTGTATAAACATTCTTTTATGATGCTTGATGTTCCTTTATGCTCCATTAAAAAAAATTAGTACTACCACCACCAAAAAGCCATTTTTATATAAAATTCTTAGTGTTTGATCCAAATTAATGTACTTACTGACTTCTGAAATTATTATAGTTTCTTCCCTGATTTATAGCTATTCTTCAGTTTTGTTTTGTTTCATTTTTAGCTGGCAGCCGGTCAAGTTCCCCAGGGAAACTGTTGGGAAGTGGTTATGGAGGCCTTGCTGGGGGTTCGTCAAGAGGCCCACCTGTGACCCCCTCTTCAGAAAAACGAAGCAAGATTCCCAGGAGTCAGGGATGTAGCCGAGAAACAAGTCCAAACCGAATAGGATTAGGTAAGGATTCTCAAAGACCTCGAAACATCATTCCTAACTTGGTCATAATTTTTATTATAATGTAATGATTTTGTCTAATATTGGAAATAGAGATCTGTTTTTGAACTGAGGATGTCACTTTGCCCGTGTTAAAAAAAGACATTCTGATTTGTGCTTTTTACAGATTATGGCATGTTCAGGTTTGAATTACAACTGAAAACTATATGGGCCTCACCATTCAGACTGTCTGGAAGGAATTACATCACTGTGGGCTTTTGTGTTTTAGAGCCATTTCATAAAACGTTAGAATTGAGGAAGTGGGCAGAATTGTTTTCTTCATAATTAGGAGCAGTGTTGCTTTTCATCTTTCTTTCATGGATTAGCACTAAGTAGCCATTAATCCACATATGTTTTCAAAAGCAATTTGTAGAGTCCCAAGTTTATTTTGATTTTGATCTTCTCTAACCTAATTTGTGGAACTTAAGGTTAAATAACACGTATAGTTACTTTTGACATAGTGTTGCTCAAATGTGAAAACTTAGGAACAAATTAAAACCAAATATATAATATTTTTGTATTGTAATATTTAGTTTCTTTGTGACAGTCTGTAGAATTATATAAATTACTCTCAGTATCTTATCCTATTCATATGTATAATCTGTTTAACATAAAAGATGTCTTTTGTAATATATTATGAGAAATCTCTTAAATTTTTATTGTTTTCCGAGGGTATAAATCTATTAACTTGACATTAGAGTACTACTATATTCTTAAGTCCTGTTGGCTTATCTTTCTCATTTATCTATCTCATCAGCAACTTCCACTTGACTATTTCCATTTTGTTAAACCATAGAACCAGAAGATAAAACAGATGTAGCTTCTGATTTTCAAAGAGTTTGTGGTCTTAGGGGTAGAAATTAAGACAGGATGACAGATACTGTGACATGCTGCTCTGGGACCATAGAAAAGTAGTGTCTTAGGGCCCTCGTGTGCCCCAGTCCTCCCAGATTTCCTGCTAGGACAGCCTTCCCAGACAGAATAGGACAGAATAGGTCCATTTTTGATGATGTGTAAGTAGGGTTAGGCAGGGTAAGGAGAAGAGGAGAAAGGTATTCCAGGGCAGAGAGGAACATGTGCAGAAGCAGTCAGATGGGAGGGAACATAATGCGCTATGGGACCCACAGGTAATTTATTGTTTGCAGCAAAGGAAGTTTGTCAGGGTGAGGTGGGAGAAGGACAGAGGGACTGGGAGTGTACTTCTGGCCACCTGAGCTATGAGAAGGCAGGGGCGCATAGTTAAGAAGTGGATTGGTTAATAGTTGGTTTAACTAACATTTCGAAAGCAAGTGAGAAATGTAATCAAGCAGTGGTTTTGTTAATTCTACATGATCCCAAACTTCTGTTGGTATTACATAGTGTGGTCCCTGAGCTGACAAGTTACTTGGATCTAGTGATTACAAATCCTGTGGATACATGCGGGAAGGTATCATGACTAGAATGTCTAAATTTTATATTTGAGGCTGTAACAGATGTATGTTTGGATCTAGTTTTATTTGGAAAATGAGTTTGATTTCATCGTGAGGTTTGGGCTGCCCTTTTTGGTAGTCAATTAAATGTATGGGATGTCTCTTGGCAACCCAGATTAGTTTCATACTTTTAAAAATTCTTTCTTTTTGGGGGATTTAACATATTATATTATTAAAAATGCTATTTTTACCTTTTCTTGGTATTAGAAAAGAAACCATCCCAGGTTGCCACACATAACTCTAGGAGCTGGTATTCCATGGTTTTAACTAGGAAGTTTGTGTTGTGGATAGTTGAAAAGACAGCATTTAATAAGCCTTTAAAAGGTATATGAAACATTATCCATCAGTAAGAACGAAATAGGAACCTATTCTCTTTCAGAGAGTTCTTATTTGAAAAATATTTTGGAAAAAGTTATTTCTTTGATGCTCATTAAGGGGATTAGTTATGTGTAAAGTTTTGAGGTCATTCATACGAATCTGATTAAAGAAGGTGTTTTGTTTAAATTTCTGCACATGGTGAAAATACACATAGTATGAAGATAGATAAATGAATCAAGTATATCTTTCTACTTTTTCCTGTAGTACTGCTGAAAGATTCCATTTTATAGGGTGTCAAGTATATAGCATCTTTAGCAGTAGATCGTCCGTGGTTGTGATCATTTAGTTGATACTGGCTTGTATACCTGTATGTCTATAAGCATTTGGTTCATTGTATAGCAACTTTAAATATAAATATTCAAAAATATTAAGCATCTTCTAATATTTTGTTTTATCCCAAACCAATTAATAGTTTTAATCATCGCTAAACTAGGCTTGGAATTTGCACTAAGAATTAATTCTACAGATGACCTACAAATTATGTTTGGTTCAGCTATGCCTCATCTGTGATAAAAATGACACCAAAGGTCTTATTTAGCATTTATGTTTTCTTAAGCAAAACAGGGTATAATTCCTATTGTATAACCAAGAGACAAACATCCTACTACTATGTTTTTTTCTTGGCTGTTTATTCCTTCATAAACTGTTGAACCAAACAGAATAGATCATAAATTATCGCATCTTGGGGTTTAATTCTGTTATTGATGAATAATAAAGTCCTAGAGGTAGCTAATATCTGTAGCAATTATATTCCAGAAGTTTGCCTTTAGTTTCCTTCTTCCACTCATCTCTTGAAAAGGCTATAAAAGTTTTTGGCAGCTTATATTCTGTGGATGTGCATTTAAAATGTTTTCAGATTTTCTGATTAAAAATATTTTGAAGGAAGCAAAACTTAATAGTAATCAGTGTCACCTGTTAGACTATTGCATACAAGACCACAACATGAAAATCCCCAGACGGAGAGACATTTCATGTTAGTGCTCCTTATTTCTCTTGTATTTCTGCTTTCAATGTGAGTTCTGGTAGGACCCATCCCTTCCTTACAAGGCAAAAGTCAAGATTAGCCCCCAGAACACTCTAAAATTAGAGTGTACTTTTGAAAGCCTGTCAGATGGATTTTTCAAGGCTCCTCAGCCTTTTCTGTAAGCACAGGACCTCAGAACCACCAAAGAATACTGCTTTCATAAAGTTCAAGCAGCAAGCAAGCCTTCATGCCTCTTCCTCTTCTGTTATGCCTTCACTTTACATACTCTCATAGAGAGCAATTGGTTTTGGCACTCCACAAAGAGGTTTATTTGATATTGTTTTTTAGGTTTGACCATTTAATTAATTAGTCTTTATAAAAATCATTTATTGAGGGATCCCTGGGTGGCGCAGCGGTTTGGCGCCTGCCTTTGGCTCAGGGCGCATTCCTGGAGACCCGGGATCGAATCCCATGTCGGGCTCTTGGTGCATGGAGCCTGCTTCTCCCTCTGCCTGTGTCTCTGCCTCTCTCTCTCTCTCTCTCTGTGACTATCATAAATAAATAAATAAATAAATAAATAAATAAATAAATACAAATTAAAAAAAATCATTTATTGATATACATATTTAAAATCCTCTTTGTAGAGTGGTCTTTGGAAGTGATATTAGAAGTAGGCATTCCTCCTCTCGTGTTTTAAATTATCCAGCATTTGACCTTCTTCTGTGACCCCTAGATGTCCTTTGATGTGGTGTGGGGCAGCTGTGGGCAAATGATTACAAACTCGTAACCAGAATTCTTTCTGTATATGTTGCTAGCCTGTGTTAAGGAAGCCAGTCGGCACAAACAGGGTAAATAAACTCTCTCTGGCTGAAATACTAAGGAAGGGAAACCTTGTTAGGAATTACACATATTGTTGTTTCAGACCATGTCTGCTTATCCCTTTTCATGCTCTTGTCTTCACAAAGCAGGCTCAGTGAGAGAGAGCAGAGACTTCCCATTGTTGTAGCATGTGTATTATTAAAGCAAGGGAGTGGAAGCAGGGTAACAGAAGTGATCAGGCAAGAACTATAAGAAAATGCCTAACTTAAGCATGTGCATGTGTGAAACACTTATCCGGCTGTCTTTGTTTCCGATTGTTCGGAGTAGGTGGTGGAATAAGATTTTCATGTACACCTTTCAGCCAGGACCTCAGAGGTACTCATGTGTGTACCTTATCTCACAGTACCTTTCTCATTTAAATGATGGGACTCTAGCTTCTAGACTTCCTAAGGGGAGCCTGAGGTAAGGAGAGGCACAGTGGCTGGAACCGGTGAGTTAGCACAGAACCGGAGAAGTCCTTTCACGAATTTGATGTGGTATTGATCCTCTAGGGACGAGCCTATTACTTCGTAGATTCTAGACAGCTTCTCATATATCGGTGTCAGTGGATGCTCCCTAGTTTTTTTTTTTTTAAGGGTTTTTAAATTTAGCTCCTGTGCTTTTGCCCTCCTCATAGGAGCCATTTAGTATTATTATCAAAAATTATGGATTAAACAGTCATTGCTACTTCAAAGAAAAACCCAATGCCTCCTTGTCCCTTGGCAAAATGAAGGTGAATTTAGGAATTACAACACAAGCCCTGTTTTGACAGATTTGCTCAGATTGCATTCCTGTGCTTGGTTTTTTTCTTGCTTGCCACCGCAGACCTAAGCATTTGGACATCTCTTACATAGCTGTGGGGTCTGATGCAACACCAGCACTGAACAGAGACTACAGGAGGAAGAAGTTGGTTTGGTTTCTCACTTCCAGGGAATTTCACGATTCTAGTTTGTAAGGCATTCCTGTTACAGTTTGGTCATGCTATAAATCCACCTTGGCTCTAAAATAATAGGCTCTGCTCATTGCAATATAGCAAACATGGCTGGTTTTAAATCAGTGAATCATTTTTATTTTTCCCCAAATGTGCAAGAAAGACATTTCTTTCCAGTCCAGAATTAGTAGATCCACTCAAGATGGACGTATTTATTATCTCACCAGATATTATGGAGATGGCTACACACATTCAGTCTGCAGAGTCATTTCTGAGTATTTTGCCAGTAGTGTGTCTTTGTTTCTCTAAACTAAGTTAAAAAAACAAAAGCATCAAGGTCTTTTCTGAGCTTTATGGCCAAGTT